TTTTTTTGGTAAGCAATACTGATTTTCTCCCTAAATGTCTATAAAGAAATCTGTCGAATTCTTTCTCAGCACTTACTGAGTCTGAATGAAACCTTATAAAACAGAAAGTCGTGTTCACTTCCCAACTCCTAATGTAGGCTGCACATTCTAATTCAATGAATAAGATTTATTTACATATATAATTATATAACTATATTTAATTTTATAAATTAATTTGGTTTTATAAATATTTATATCTGCTATAGTATATTTATATACACTGCATTTAGATATGCAAATATACAGTGTATCTTGTGCATTATTTTTATGTATTTTGTGTGTTAGATTTCTATATAATTTAGGTAGAATTTTTATATTTATAAAGAGAAAAAGTTAYGTGAATTTAATGCTATRCTTTGCTTGGAYAGTTCACTGTCTGTGACTATAAAATGCTCCAAGGGAAATACAAATGAAGCTTATTGAAAATGTTTTTGATAACATGGTTTTGCCAGATTTTTCAGTCCCCCACCTTTTTGGAAGTTACACTTTTTTTATGAAGAGTAACTACACAGTAAAAACAAAAACAATGTTTGSTAGCCGTATGGTGAAGAAGTTTGTTTCTTTTATAAAAAGAGACAGAGATCTAGGTCTGTATTCTGCCAGTGTGGATTAATGCTAACATCAACCCGGTACTTTTGGTGTTGCTTTGGTTGGTTGTTTTTTTCCGGACTTTCTTTTTCACATCTGCTGCATGAGGTAGAAATGCTTAAACATTTACAGAAGTCAGTACCCTGCYGTCACCTCTGGGCTATAATTTGACTTTGAATTAAGCTGAAATACCCTCAGTGTAGGAAGAAATGCAATAAACCTGTTAACTTTCTACAAACCCAACACAYTGGGTTGGAGTGGGAATGCTGGTGGCCGGGGGCATTTGTCCCTGTGCCAGGGCTCCTGAAGGGATGGACATGCTCCTGTGACCAGGGCACATCTCAGTGCCTGCTCTTGCAGGGGTAGGAGGTGACATCCAACCGAGGACCTTTCAGCACATGTGCTTTTTAGAAGATGTTTTTCACACGTGTACCCAGTCAGGTTTGGCACGGGACATTTGGGATCACAGGAGATCCTACAGCATTTCTCCTGCAGATGTGTGAAGTAGAACATAAAGGGGTGAGAGAAGGGCAAGGCAGGCTTTAATGCAGGGTGAGTAAGGATCCATCAGKCATTATATTTGCACTTGAAATTGCTTAAGAGCTCTTCTGAGCAAAGAAAATTACAGGGAGTGGGACATGGGATGGGCYTAATTCTGTGCAACTTGGCTAAAGTTGAAATTCTGGTGAAAAACTACTGGAACAAGAAATCCTGTCATCTTCTACATATTACATAATTTTTTTGGTCATTGTGTTTTTAATTTCTTTCTCCCATGTTTGCTCTTTTAGTCTGTAATCTTTCATGTGTTCTTGATTCTATCAAGAGGTCCAAAAGAATTTTAAAACTTTAAAGGACAGRAACTCCATTCTCCCTGCAGAATTAGAATTTCATGTGGGAAACAGYTGGAACTAAACACTTGCAAGCTATTGTCTATATTTATTTGTATTCAAGAATTTGTGTAAAATGTCTAAGTTGTGCCTTTATTAGGAGATTGCAAASTGGAAATCAGATCTGGTCAATAGAATATAGAACATCCATTAAGATATCTGTAACACTAATGAATTGAATATATGTGAATGTATATACACATGCAAATGTAATAATAAAACAAAATTTCTCGGAGTATTTTGTCTGGTCAGAGTTTATGTACAAGAATTGATTTCAGCAGGTGTCACAAGCTATCTTGAAATGATGCTTTTAAATTAAAATTATTGCACCTTGGCATAGTATTAATATRTACTCACTTTTCAGCATTATGCAAGATTGTTATAGAATGAAGTGGATAAGGGGCTRGTGATACTCACGTGATGGATATGGAAGCAGAAATAGCCAGAAATATTACCAGAGATATGTTACTTTTAAAATATGGGTTTTAGGATGATGGAATGMGTGCCCTCAATCTGATGCTTTCTCATTTTCTGTTAAACCATGATACAAAGTTGTTCTTACCAGCAACAGAATGTTCAGCTTAATATGTACCAGTGTACTACCAGAAATACAAAGTTTTCATATAGCTTTACAGAARGAACTTCACAAATAAATGTTGTGGTTATAACATTTAGCTAACTTAGACTTTTATGTCTTGAGAGACTACCTATCCATTTACAACTAGGTGAACAGCTAATGTTTTCTAACATTAGTATTAAATAAGATTTGAAGTGAGACAAAAATTGGACTAACAGTCAGGTCCAAATTTTTTCTGGTGTTAGTATAATACAATAATGACCCTGGAATTAATAATTTTGTTTGAATTTTTCAGATAATACTGATCATAGTTCATAATAAAGTTGGATTTTATTTGTATAAAAAGTGAATACATAGGCAGAAATKACTTTTAAGTGATCACTTGCTATTTACTGTTAAATGAAATGTCTTAAGCCATAAAATGTTTAARTAATGCACAATTGTATTGATCATAATTATGTATCTTCATTTACGCTTTTYAGGTTAAATTTTTTCCGAGATGTTACTGAGTTCAGAGTACTAGCATGTGGTGGAGATGGAACAGTAGGCTGGATTTTGGATTGCATAGGTAATCTATAGTTTTACAGTTTTGTTTGATTCATGGTTTTCATTTTAATGGTCTTCCTTATATACCAATGCATGGATACAACTATTTCAAACAACAGCTTGTTCATTTAAATTTTTGAAATGTGTTAGTTTGGGACATGTTTATTTTTAAGGGTATCGAATTGCAGAAGTTGTTTAAAATCTCTAGMGAAGTTTAGAGTTTAGTGGTTTTGGATTTCCTGAAAGCAATAAGTTTGAATTAATCTATTTTAATTTCAGTTCAAAGTCTATTCCCCTGTTGAATCAAATTAAACTTGCTAATTTTMAGACAATTTAATTTAGCTCACTTGCTTTTTTTAGTTACCAAATTTTTGTTTATACTCTATTATCCCATAATGGAGATAATGTATTAAGAGATAATTCAGTTTTGGAGTTTTTTCAGTCAATTGTCTGCAAAGTCCGCTGTACAAATCATAAGGAAGGCCCAGCAGTCAAGGTACTACAGACTTAAAATTTTCAAAGATTATTAAGGGGARTATCTTCCAACTCCCATGATCATTTATTTGTTGTTAGGCTGTAGAGAAAAATAGTGGGCATGTATGTCAGTAGAAATTAGTAAGAGCATCAAGAGAGATCAGAAGACTCAACTGAAATTTTATCTAGTGTTTAAAAGTGTGTGTTTTTTGGGGGGCCTGAAGGCCTTTAAAAGTTCACTGAAAAGTACAAGTGATATCATGAAGGAACAAGGGGATATTTCTAACCTTGGTTGGAAAAAAGTCGTTTTGCAAAGGAAAGCTACTGACTGTAACTCTCAAATAGCTTTCAGAGTCATAAGTTAATGTACATAAATATCAAGTGCATTGCCTAAACTTGSAAGACACGAAGTTTTGCAGCAGTTAATTGTTTCAGGAGGTTTAAAATGTCATGCAGTTGCTTTCTTTTTCAGTAGCATGCTATCTTCTGCAGCAGTTTTTGTGGTATGGAGCTAAGAAATTACTTGGGCAATCCAGGAACCATCTTTTTCCATAGAAATGCAGAAAATATGTTTTCCATGCTGCCTTTTAGGAAGCAGAAGTACTTTAGCATATAGACTTTAAGAATACACTGGTTTTTAGATGCTTTCTAAACAGGTCTTCCCTGATATCCTCATAAATAAAGAGCTTTACCTGAAAGCAAAGCAAGAAAAAAAGAAAGGAAAAAAGGAAAGAGAGAAAAAATAAACAAAAGAAAAAAAATTCTTATCAGTTTGAAACTCTTAAATTTAAAAAAATCTATTAAATATTACATTCTCTGAAAGATTTTCATTACAGAGGTTATGTGAATTTTAAATCTTTCAAAAATATTGATAAACATTGATGTACCTGCTACATCTATTGTATAGATAAACTCCTGCTGATTATTGYTGATAATTGTGCATAATTCTGTAAACAAAACAACCATTTGATTAATTAAGTTTAACTTATAAATGAGACATGCTATTCATTCACATGAAATGGGAAATTAACAAATTATATATATTGTATATATATTCCAGYTTTCACAAAGGCTGTATTTCTTGACAAGGGTTTTTGAACTGAGATCCTTGGGCTTAAAATGCTACAAAAATACCAGTAAAGACCGAAAAGACACCATAAATTCATTCATTTCAAAAGGTTGCTGAATAAATGCAAAATTGCTTCTTAAATACTTGATCAGACAGGTCAATGTTCCCTTTGAATAGCATGTTTAATTCCTGATGGGCAARCCCATGTCTGGTGTTAGTTTCAAGGACTTCTTGGTAACGCTGCTCAGGTGTTGACACAAATCCAGAATGAACACACATTTAAATTAATCCAGTTAAACACAAATTTGTGCACCCAGGTGAAAAAGTAGAAAGTTTACCTCATTATTCATGACATTAACTATTACTGTTCTGCATTCATATCTGGGAATGGCAGAGCTGAGAATGAGAGAGGGAGCACCACACTCAGTCTGGGAAAGATCTTGAGTATCATTGTTTGTGAATGTTTATCGTCTGTGATTTGCAAAGTCCTTGTAATGATAAATGAGTAAATTAGGAGTAAGGATTGAATATCGAGTGGGGAGAGGGCTACAAAACTGACAGTGAAATGCTCATTGCTGAGCAGGCAGGATAATTTCACATGCAAAACAAGTCTTTCTCTGAAACAAAACCTAACGCAGTTATCATATCATACCATGCAATTAAATMATTTTTGCTCCTTAGCTAACTTTTTTTCTTTCTTTATTCACAGAGAAAGCGAACTTGATTAAGCATCCTCCTGTTGCTATCCTGCCTCTTGGGACTGGCAATGATTTAGCAAGGTGTCTAAGATGGGGAGGAGGTAAACACAAATGAAAATGYAATGTATTATGGAATTAAAAGGAAAAAAAAAACMTTTTSCATCCACATCTACATTTGGATTTGTTTTYGTAAAGAACCATTATCACCTTTTCTGTATTTGGAATGGTCTGTTTGCAAATGTCTGTTAGATATGTAAGATATTAAACATTGGAATCACGCTTCATACCTTGTTTGTAGCTCCTGGTGACAACAAAAACATTTCAAGGTGTAATGAGAATAGTGTAAAGCAGTTTGGTGGCTTTTTATAAGCAGTATTGTATTTATTGCTTTGATCAATTTCTTGTAAAGAGAGCAGTCTTAAATGGGTTTTATTGGGACTGTTCTGAAAGGGTTACTGAAAGCATCTAATAATGGGTTAGGAGTGGTTTAATCTTTTTTAATCTTTAAAAATATTAAATGAAAAAYATTTCTCAACCTTGGACTAGTTCCTTTGATCCACTCCCTTTCTATTTTCCTACAGAGGATTCCAGACAATAAGTGCTGTGGTACTATTTATCAGAAAATGAGAAGGCAAAGGATGCTGAAAGAAGAATATATTGAAAAGCAAACCTTTAATACCCTTTGCATCCTTTTCTGGATGTATGGACACTTAATCTCAGCTCCTCCAAAAACTTACTTCCATCTAGAATTTGTATTGCAGGATAACTCAAAGGAGGCACAAGGAAGAAAATCTTAGACAAGATTAAATTTGTGGTGAAAGCACCTCAGTTTATGGGCTCATAGCCTGGTCTCTTTCAGGTCTTGGTTGTTTCAGTTGAGATGTTTTGTATTTGGAACTTGATTGTTTCATTTTGAACTTCTCAGCCTTTGCAGATATCTTRCTTCTTCTGTCTCATTAGTTTCCTTTCCAAATGTCTTCCTTGCTGCTAGATAGTCTTCAGCAAATTCTCGGTAGCTTTCATGCTATAGCAGTTTGTTAACCATAATGTTCTGTCAAATCATTTGAGAACATATTTTATTTTCTCTGTCATGACTGTTGATTGTTTACATTCTCATAGTCTTAGGGTAAGAAAGTAAACAAGCTAGCCAAAACCCATTCAAATCAGCCTTCCTTAACTTTCTGAATTGTTCATAGATAGAGTCACAGAATAATGAGGCTTAAAGGGGTTATAGGAAGTCACTAGTCCAATCTGCTGTTCTAAGCAAGGTCAGCCAKGAGAACACTTAATTACATTGGTTGGGATCTGTCTCTCCCTTCACTTCTATTTATGTTCTGTGTCTTAAGTGATTCCATTTGGGCTAAAGTAGAAAAAGACWACATAAAAGTATTCTGGGTTTCATCATTCTTTGCCCAGTTGCTTTGTGCTAAACAGTACCATAATACAGATTTTCTGGAACTTCCATAGATGGGAGAGGAGACAGGGATTCCAGAAACTAAATTGCTGGTGAGTGATCTCAAGGATGCAGAGAAATGGAATTGTGCATGCTGCTGTCATGTGGTGGTTAGCAGTAACTAGCAAAAATGTGCTAGACAGCCATGAACAAATATATCAGCAATGGGTTTTGAGCAAGGAGGCTTTGGGTGGCTTGGCCTGCTAAAKCTCTTAATGGCACCAGAGGCAACATTGCTTGAATATGAAATCTTGGGTTTTTTCTGCTCTGAAGGACTGAATCCACACATCTTAGCTATGCACTACAAAGTCATTTCTTCTGAATAATATTCAGAGYTGATAATGTCACTTGGTAAAACCCCCACAGTTTTTCTTCGTGCACACATGTGGATGTTGTGTGTACTCATGAGTGCATAAACAAGTTTTCCACTCAGTTTGATGAATTACATGCTAGTGCTTCTTTGCAAGTATGATTAAACTCTCTCTACAAAGCAGGATGAGGCTCATGAAGAAGTTTTTGAAACATGGAAAAATGTTACTTTTTCTGACTAAGCTATCAGCTATGGATTTAAAATTTGGATTTGTTATGCTAAACCAGATTGAAACAATCCATGAAAATTAGTAAAAGCTTTTAACCTTTCAGTGTCTCTTCAGACAAACCTGTAATATATCTCTTCTATAAATTTTTTAATCAAAGGGATTTAAATATTAAGATTATTTTCTTATCAGGAACATTTTGCAAAGTATAACCTTAGCTTTTTGGATCATTTGGAAAATTAAAGAGATTGACAAGTTTTGAAGATATAACTACCTTCTTCATCACAAATCTGATGTCCATAAAATCTATAGATTAATCTAAATTTACATGCTTAATTAGCTTTGTATTTGTGCTTCTTTTAATGACAAACGCTGGAAAATTGTCAATACTTGAAGTATCCTGCTTTTAAGGACTTACATGCATAGCTTTCATTTCTCTAGTSACAGAATCAYAGAATATTTTGGGTTGGAAGGGATCTTTAAAGGTTAGTTAACTAGTCCGACCCCCCCTCCAATATGCAGAAGAATCCTCAGTTGCATCTGGTTGCTCAGAGCCATCTAGAAAGAGAAAGAAAATGTAATGAAACTTTATTGTGCGTGATTAAATAACTGGTTTTGTGTTTTGCTAGGGTACGAAGGTGAGAATTTGATGAAGATCTTAAAAGACATTGAGAATAGCTCAGAGATTTTACTGGACAGGTGGAAATTCGAAGTAATACCCAATGATAAAGATGAGAAAGGAGACCCAGTGCCTTACAACATCATCAATAACTACTTTTCTATTGGCGTGGTAAGACTTATGCTTATGCTTAAGTGATTTCCTTTTTCTGTTTTGAATAAATATTTGCATCACATGCCTTCAAATGAAGAACTGTTGGCTAGAGATCATYTATAATGTTGTTTTGCTAGTGAAATGAATAYATAGATGACTGACAGCAATTTGCATAAATTTACTTCCTCACATTCAAACCAGAATTATTTTTCAGGGCCTTCTACCTTCCCATTTATAAAGAAGATATTTGTGTTGTTTTTAATGGTTTATGAGCAGCCATAGCACTAAATTTATATTGTCATTTTGAAGGTCCTATAAAAATATAAAGGAAAAACTAATYACWTAATAAGAACTCTTAAGTAATCTTCTCCATTAGTATTCACATAGTCAAAACTGTTTAAAAGAACAGTCGCATTCTTTATTTCTTCCAGACAGTTTTAAACAAAACAAAAATAAAAAAAAAAAAAAAAAAAAAAAAAAAAAAAAAAAAAAAAAAAAAAAAAAAAAAAAAAAAAAAAAAAAAAAGAAAGCCCTTTATGTATCTGCTTGGTTCTGCCTCGTAGGGATATTCACAGTTTGAATGAATTAGGAGGAAAAGGGGTTTAAGCAGCTCTTCACATCTGAGGGACTGCATCTCTGGTTTGTGCTTCTCTGTGCTTTTCTATGTACTATCTTTGCTTCTTAACATTAGTAGAATTTCCTTATTCATATTTGACTTGGGATGTGTAGTTAATTTCRGATACTATTCTGAAGTACCATTTGGGGTTTTTGTAGGTGATTCTTCCTGCTCACAGGCAGAAACTTAAACTCGATTGAATTACACTGTAATTTTTACTGTTCCTCCAAGGCACTGTGAAAATTAATGGTGACCTACAACATATTGCACATTGCCTCATAAATTCTTGCCAAATAATAAGCACAGTCTCTAATCCAACATGAACAGAGCCTGCTGTATGAACTTTGTAACAGTATGGCAGAAATTGTACTAAATAACAAATAATGTATGTTTAGAAAAGACTGGAAAGTAAAACTGAATAAAATTGTGCTTGACATGGGGTTCTTGCTGCTTTAGGACCATAATTCAGGTTGGAATGGATTGCAGGAAGTCATTAGTTCTAAACAAGGTCAGTTATTAGAGCAGATCACATTGCTCAGGGCATTAACCATTTAGATTTTAAAAGCCCCTAGGATGGAAATGACACAACCTCTCTGGGTAACCTGTTGTGGTGCTTGACTATCTCTATGATGAAAGTGTTTTTTTCTACATCCTGTCTGAAGTTTTCATTTCAACAGAAATTTTATGTTTCCTATCCTCCTATATGTGCTACTGTGACAAGTCTGGCTTTGTCTTCTTGAGACCTACTCATAGGTATTTGCAGGCTGCTATTAGACTTCTCTGGAGCTGCCCTCTTACCTGTGAGTCACCTGATCTAGACAGTCTTTTTTAAAAAGTCCCTCTCTAGCAATCAAGATCATAATATCCCAACCTAGATACAAGCATGCTGGGGTAAACAGTGTTCAAAACCTTGCTGAAGTCGAGCATGACATCCCTTGCTCTCTCCTCATCTACAATTTGAGTTGTTTCACTGTAGGCAGCAATCAGAAAGCAGTTTACTCCTTAGAAGGAAAATGATACACTWAGTTGAAAGGAATGTCGGAGACAGTAGCATATGTATGTGAAAAGTTTGATTTGTGTGTTCATGCCACACAAGCCTTTTTTTCAATGTCTGTCTCAAAGCTCTGATATGTACATTAAGAACTAAACTATGTCTAAATACAGGGAAAAAAGTAAGATTCAAACTGAGATGYGTGTGTAACAAACTGTGAATGAGTATGGGAAATGTTCAACATGATGGAAGCACAAAGCATGGAAGGACCACAAAAAGTGGATGCCAAATCRTGTGTCACTTTTAAAGCAGGAGCTAGAAAACATCTAAGAGCAATGTAGAATAAGATAAAGATTTTTCAAGTGCTCACATCCATCATTCTGTCAGCATGGCAAGATACCAGGAGAGAAGTTCCATCTGCTTCCTAATAATACTGGAGTCACTGATACAAGCTAAATATCCAAGAAAAACGTGTGTTAAAGTAGTCAAATCAGATTTGCTTTAAAAAACAAAAATACCACCACCCCAAGAAAAGCAAAGCCAAAACAAAAAACCTCTTTAAGAATATAGTAGTGTCATCTGAAAATGAAAACTTGCCTTGGAAAGTCATAGAWTGGTTGAGCTGGACAAACTGAAATGGTAGTAATAGAGGATAAATAAGGAAGTATGACAGGAAACATCAGGCCAGCTATCAGTACTGATGTATTTCAGAGACAATAAAAGTTATTTTGCCCATAATCTACCCAACCAGCTTTAATAGTCATACATTCATGCACTAGATTGATATTATCTAAGTCATCATCAAAGCCAGAGCTCAGTAATGTCAGTATTGTGTTATCACAGACTATTCTTGGGCTTGCAATGCATTTCTGCAGCTGCTGCAGTTGTGGAATTTCAGTCGCTGTCACTTCATTTAGCCAACTTGATGCTGGTATAATCAGAGGGAGTGTGTGTGTAGAGAGAGTATTTTCCTGTTTGTAGGATTTGTCATGGTTGACYTTTTCCCTATGGATAAAACAGTTTCACCTTTGCTGCTTTCTCCAAGCACTCAGCTGCTTACCATTAATGGTGGCTCAACATGTATATGTGAAAGTTGCTTCAGATAAGCCTGTGTTCTGTAACAATCCTGCATGTCTGGTTTATTTTATCTTAGCTATTTTTCKTATTTGTATCTCAGACCTGTAAAAATGTCCCCAAAACCCAAAAAGCCAGCACTTCTCTAATCTAATGCTATCTTAGAACAGAGAAACATTTTCGCAAAACCTGTAGTAACGCTTCAGTTCAGTGCTTGAAATTACACGACCTAATAAAAACCTGAAACAACACTCAAGCAAACAAAATAATCGTYAGACTAAACCAATATATGCTCATGACTCATTTCTCAAAGAATAATGAGAAGGAGATGGRTAATGATACCCTGAAAACAAAACCCTATTTTTGCAAACAATTGTTCTCAAATCTGCTCTCAGATCTTGCCTGGATTGAGCCATTTGCTTCAGTGATACAATGATAGTAAAGCATAAATGCRTATTGTTAATTATAAAATGGATGGGTATGTGTTCTATTCACAAAAAATGCACCCAATTCAAGTACTCACAAAACCAGGTAAGCCTGGATGATGGTGAAATAATTGCATGCTGATTGAGACCAGAGCAGCAGCCATGGGGGATGAGTGACAAACAGTCAGTGAGGCAAATTCACATAAAACCAAAACAGGAAAACAACACGGGAATATTGTTACCTTGAGAAGAACTTCCATGTGTTTGGAAATCCCACAACAGCATGGTCAGAATTTTTACATAGTGCTAAGGTGCAAAGAAAGAGTTCTTTTAAGCTTAAGGATATGTAGCTTAGGTGTCAAGCAATATTGTGTTGTTGGTACTAATCACTGAAAAAGACAGTGGCTATCAAGGCTGTTCATCTTTTATTGGGAAGTTATTAAAGTAAGTCAAATATGTAGGGAAATTATATTGCGTATTTTTACTGCTTCTCAAATGATTGTCTTGAAGACAAAATGGGAATTTTGATAATGGAAAGAATGCGTCATTAAACGTTCCATTGTGATTAAATACTAGAAGTCTTGGCTTCCACTAAATGTTTGGTTGAAAGGAGCATGCAGAAGAGGAAAGACTCCTTCTTATATACTGAGGGTTARGAATGTGTGAGAGAGCACAATATCTCTGCTTTCTATGCTTTCTCCTCAAGGTGGATATTCAAGAGAAATGACTGSAGCCACCTTCTAATACTTGAGAGGGGCAGGAAAACCAAAGGAATCCTAGGAGAAAACCACAGACATGGGTTCACGCTGGAAGAAGAATCAGAGTGGAGATTTAGGGTGTGAATTAGTTCATTAAAAGCTGAGAAATACTATGAGCTAGGCACTTCTGTYATACTCTTTTAAAAATTCATTTTTATAATTTACTTCTACTTAGATTAATCAATAAAAGTACCTGCAGAATTGCTCAAAATGTCCTAATTTTTAGAGTCTAGGCATACTAGCAACATTGTAATGCCATATATTCATGGAGGATTAAAACAAAAAACAAACAAACAAAAAAAAAAAAACAAACAAAAAAAACAAATAAAAGCTCCAGAGAAACAAAGCAAAAACTATAATGAAGTTCTTTAAAAAAATCAAATTACTATTTGATATCTCAGAATTAATAATTCTTATTCCTAAAGATAGATGAGTTTTTCAGAGGCTCCTGCTTGAMTGGAACAAATAGCTGTGGGCCAAACCAAAGGCAGTTTTAGTCACCTGAGAACCCACATTGCTAGACCTTGATTTTTTTACATTTATTATGCAAAGTACTTGAAAATATTAAATAAAAAAAAAAAAATTATTGGACTCAGATAATGGCTTATCTCAAAAAAAGGTAAAATTTTTTAAACCAAGCAACTCATCTATTTCCCATTGACTTCCTTGTTAKTTACTAATAGCTCTTTTGTTTTCCATTTTGTGGGTAATAATGCTGAAAGAAATTATGAATAGTTGTTAAGATGAGAGTCCTAAAGTAGGTTTTCCAGAAGCAAGCATAATTTTGAATTTACTGTTCTGCCACTGAATTAGCTTAGAGTTTAGACTTTATGGAGCCAAAATTAGGTCAACATTAATCACTACTGGAGATCTTTAACCGTAAACAATTTCTTTCTGTTTTCTTTCCTTTTTTTAACTTTAAATAAATCATAAATTTATCTGATGTTAATAGGAGATAAAACGTTATCAATGCTATTTAACTATCACTTGAATTTTTGTAACTGCATAGGGTATTGCAGAGCATTTACTGCTAAACCCATTGTAGTTCTGTAATTAAAAYGTAGGAGCATCATAAACTGAACTTGCAAATATCTGCATTGTTTTTTAGTGCAAATTTATATAGAAAGAAATATTACTGAGCTAGATTTTAAAGC